GGTCCATATGGACATTTAGGAAAGTTACTTTTTCCCTACCAACTTTAGATTCAGCACATGTACTAGAGAAAAGGTTAGGACAATCAATAAATCTTGGACTTTACTGTTATGATTGCAAATCAGCTCGTGTTATTTGGACTAACTGTATTTTCTCCCATTTATAAAGTTCTCTAGTTTGAACTCCTCCTTGTATTTTCAATTTTCTAGCCAGAAACAACGGAGGAAGAGCAAAGAGAAGAATGAAGAAGGGAGGAAGGAAAAGAATGTCTTTTTATTTCTTATAAGTGGTTGCCACTACAGTCGCAGAAATGGAAAATTCACAAAATGAATAGAATATAAATATTGCTGGTTCAAGCAGCCACAGCTTGTTGCAAGTTTCTGGGGTGACAACCTGTCTCTGTTTGAGCTCTCACTGCACCCTTTGGCCTCTCCCAGGCTCAGTCGGCTTCTCAGTCTCTTCCAGTTAATTTCAGTGGAAACAATTATCACCCAGCAAAAGATGTGGTAATATGTGCGCAAAGTTGATCTTAGAAAACCAATAAGTAAGACATAAAATAAAAATAAAAAAAATACATCCCAAATAGGTCTTTTTATTTAACATAAGGCCAAAGAAGCTATCAGGCGTTGCTGAACACTGTCCACTAACTGTACAAAATATTGACTGCATGCCTCGCAAACACCAAAATATCCGCTGGAATGCCATAGAAATAAATAACTTCTGCTATAAACACATGAAAACATATCAAACTGTTATCTCTTTAAACATATTGTAAATAAAAAATTACCAGTACTTCTACACAATAAATATTAAGAAACCATTGACATAGTTGAAATGCACTCATATAAATTAACAACTTTAATTACATTAGCCAAACAGACATTGGTTAAAGAACTGCATATAGAATGCAAAAAAAAAGAAAAACCACAAAATAAAAATAAAAACAAACAAACAAACAACATCAACCACAGAACATAAAAAGTTTTAAAACAAAACAGGCTTCAGATGCTCTTGGCTTTCATAATTGTATTTTTCTTTTAAAGAAAAATATCAACCCATTGTCAATGCACTGTTTTTTCAAAGCATTTAAATAGAGGGTAAAACCCATTGAAAATTAATACAGAAGAAATTATTCACTTTATGCATAAAAATAAATAATAATATAGCTGAGACATGTGGTTTGCTTCTGCTCTGGAAGATATGAACAGCTTCTAAGCAGTCATTTTCTCTGATCCATACAATAGCTTCTCATTGATAGATGATTTAACTTAAACTCTTTCAGTGTCCACTCCCAACCTTCTGCCCACAGCTCCATATTTACTATGTAGGTGTTCAGGGTGACTAAGTGTTTTTCTCTATATTGAGAAGGGGACTTGTCAAGAGGCCCCCATGGGAAATCATATTTTCAAGCAAACATGATCATTTGAATCTATGCTTCACACAAGTGAAAAAAAAATATTCGTTCTCTGCTTTTTTAGAGTCACCTTTTGAAGCCCAATTCCCAGGATAGGAAAAAAAAAAAAAAAAAAAAACGATACTTGTTCCACTTAGAGCAGAATGCAGGGACTCTTTTTGAATAAATGGAGTGTGGAATCAATCTTAAATAAATATGAAATTGGCTGGCGTTTCAGGACAAGAAAATCGCGACTCAATGTGCTAGAATTCACTTCCCTTGGGGGTGGAGGGCTAGGGGAAAGAAAGAAATTTCTAAATTGGAATATAAAGTACTTATTGAAGAAAAAAAGGGGGGAGGTTATTAGGACAAATACTTCTCAAAGTTTCTCAAACAGGTGTGAGCAGGTGTCTAACCGCCTAGAGATTAGCCCCAGGCAAAGGGTGGAGAGACAGTAAGATCTGATGACACCATCCTCATCTCAGGAAAAGGTACTAGGAGGAACCCAACATAGTAGACTCCAAAAGCCTTCTGTTTGGCTTTCCTAGTGTTACGTAAAAAGAGAGGGTGTTCACAAGGCTTTGTCTTCCGATGTTATGAAAGACTATAGTATCTTTCAACATTCTTAGAAATAATAGCAGTTTATAATTCCATTCCAAGGCCATGGAGATTTAAATGAAACAAGGAGAGGATTTCTTGGTGTGTGATCATTCAATTACATAAAGTCCAGTTAAAAATATTGCCATACGAAATAGTATTTTTCTCTGTACCTAAATACTATGCTTTTTAATCAAACCTGATCTTATCCCTGATTTGTCCAGGACTTAAAAGGCATAAAAAAAAAAAAAAACCAGCCAGATGTATTTGAGATGAATGGACCCTCCACACAGCTTTCAGCTGTCTGTAGATTTCTGCTTTTTCCATTGCCTTGACCATCTCTGTTATTGCACAGTGAATTGGAACATAGTTCTTTCCCCATCTGCATAGGTTCCGGGATCGGTTCCAGTACCAAAGAAGAAACCATTCAAAAGGCCCTCAGCATTTTTCTGAAAATCTGTGAAATTGACCCTGGTCATCTATTGCTGTTCTTGTAACTTTCCTGTCCACATCCACTCTCCCACATGCATGGTGTCCGAACTCGAGGGACCTCAATTAGATTCTGTTCTCGAGCTTCTTATGAAGTTATGTTCCATTTTCTGCACAAGAAAAGGTGGGCCTCTACAATAGTATGGGTTATTTTGCCCAGTATGGAGATTAAAGCAATTTGCCTATATACAGCCTAGTGCTACAGTATACTGACTTAGTGTATTTATCAAGACAAGCTAAACCACCTTTTGCAATATTTGGTTTCTCACTAATTTTTCATTTCCTTAAAATTATCTTTTAAATCTACAAATTGATATAAGGTGAAAGCTTCAATAAATATTTCACAAAATACTGATGAATGTAGCTTTCCCAATGATTAGGTTTCTTCAATATTTAAACATGTTGGCAGACTTCAAGCAAGTCAGTAAACATAGGCTCTATATTTTAAAAAGCACATAAACAAATAACTTATCAACTGTTCTAGGCAAGCCAAATACTGGAATAAATTAGATAGAAACTCAGCTTTAAGCATATACTTTGATATTTATAAAACGAAGGTTTTTGTTTTTTCCTTTTTACATCTGAATCAATACATACAAACTTTCATATTAAGAGTTTTGGCTGTAAATTAAATATTAGGCAATTTTACTATCCTCATCCCTGTTTCCTCATAACTGTTCTCTTCCTTAAATTCCACTCTCTTAACACTTTCTCAAAATTATTAACCTTTTATGTAGTGACAATAATATCATTTAACCCAGCTGGTACAGGAAATATTTTTCAGAACCAGGCCTGAATCATAAAAAGAATGCACCTAACTGTTTTCATTCTGGCCTAAAGATGAGATTTAAACAGAAAAGAAAGAAAAGAAAAGCTGATTTAAGATTGATTCCAATAGATAACAAAGTTGAAAAAACACAAAATCAGCCCAGAGTTTTGATTAACATTCTGTCTTCCCCACAGGGGATAACTTGTAGGGACTAGAAGGGATGGGGAGAAGAAAAAGGAGGGAATTCGATCCCTGTACTTTTAAAGAGTGCCTTGCTGAATCATCACTGGAATGTCCAGGCATTTTCCCATCCAAATTTTTGAAATGTGCCCACCTAGTTTAGAGTAAAAGCAAAAACTATAGCCTATCCTTCTTAAAAATACTGTGTTTTGCACACAAACATTCATTGCTTTAAGAACATTAAAAAAATGACAGCCTGAAGTGCTTAAAATGTGTAGGACATGGTACAAGACCTGTATATATACACACAGATATGCTTATGCACAAGCAATGTATATATACACATACAAGCATGTAGTCTCATGAATTTGAACTTGAAATCCAACAGTGTACAACTACTGTACATCCAGTATGAAATGTCCTGTTTCATGGATGTAAGAGGAGTCAAAACCCAACCTCTCAGGTCTTTGAAGCCCGAACACAATCCACCTTCCTCAACCTTGAATCTCAGCTCCTGACTCACTGACGGTGAGTGGTACCAACCACAGACAGACTGTTTAAAGGCTCGCACAAATGTCTTTGGTGTATGTGTCTATTTTTTTAAGGTACAAAATAATAATAATAATTATAATTATAATAATAAAAATAGCTATTTTGTGTGCTGTAGCAGTTCTTTTATAGCTCACATTAAGTGCAGCTCTTAAACCCCACCCCCACCCTCACCCAAAGAAAATACTTGTTAAATAAGGATTAGACAGGTCAAACACCATTGTAGTGCAAATAGTAAACGATAAAAAAAAAAAAACAACATTTACAAAATATAGAAATGTTTGGATCCAACAGATGGACAAACATATTCCTTTCAAGTATCTCTCCTTGAAGAAAATAAAAATTAATCAGGTTACTTCCAATACAAAAAAGTCTCTCTTTTTGTTCTCTCTCAGGTAAACAGTTTCAAACCTATTAGGTTGCATAGTTCTAAGATCATAAGCACCTTAACGAAATGTAACTTGGGATTTTTTTTTTTCCTTGATCTTTCACTCTTCTCTTTTCTGTTCTCAAATTTTTTTTTTTAATGTTGGTTTTGTCTTGTTCTGAAAGTGGTGCAGAAAAAAGAAAGTGTGGCCACCTGCACACCATTGTCCTTTTATCAGTATGTGTGTGTGCGTGTACACACACGCGCACACTGATAAATACAGACCGGCTCACACAGACATGCCTTATGACCTGGATAACTGGTGGGAAAGTGCCTATGACCGGCCCTTTCAAACTCATGGCTTTCTAGATGATATTTGGGTCATGCTAGTCCCCGTTTCTGCAGACTAGACAAATCGACTTTGAGGCTCACAAGAGAACAGCAAGCAGGGAGAGGACAATACCCCATTTAAACCACTGGCACCAACAGTTGGATTTCCGAAGAAATGAAGGGTACACCATTCTCCCCTCTCCTCGATGCCCTGTCTCCTTCACTGCTTCATCTCTGAGCCCTGGCTACGGATTTCTGCTTTTTTCCGCATCTTCCTTCATCTGTTTCATCAGGTTTTGTTTTTAGGTGGGTTTTTTTTTTTCTATTTTTTTTTTTTTTCTGGTTTTTAACTCAGAAACCTTAAGAACTGTCTTCGTGTTGCCACTGTCTTTTCTGGCCACCTCTCTCTCTCCCTCCCCCCTCCCATCCCCTCCACCCCCGGGATGGGCAGCTCTATGAGCAGCCGCACTCCTCCACGATCATGTTCTGAATGTCTTTCTTGATGATGTTCTGGCCATCGTCGTAGTATAGCATGGACATGGGTCTCAGCTTGGTGGGCACACAGCACGATTTGAGGTTGGCAAAGGGGCTGTGACCCCGCATGCGGTAGTGGTTGATAACTGTTGAGTGGAAAGAGAGCGAGGAGCCCGAGGTGCCTGCTATGTGGCTCGGGCACTCGCCCTCACAGTAGTTGGCATGATAGCCGGAGGGAGCGATGATCCAGTCATTCCAGCCAATGTCCTTGAAACTGACAAAGAACTGTTTCTTACAGCAGATGTTGACCTTGCCGTCACACTCCAAGCCCCGCCTGCGGCGGCGGTGAGGATGGTCTTCAGACTGCCGGGCCTGCAGCATGAGGAAAGGTCTGTGAGACTGCTCCTTCTCCTCGTCGGCCCCTCCTTCGCCTCCGTCCTTCTTCTTCCCTTCCCCTTCCTCGTCTTTCTTCTTCCTCTTGCCCAGGAGCACCAGGCTGGCACCGCTTTCTGGGCACTGCTCACAGGCAATCCGAACGTCCAGGGAGCTCTTGCCTTGGTCCAGCAACCGCTGGATGCTGCTGGAGACAGGGAAGATGTGCCAGGTGCTCTTTCGAGCATCCACCACCTTCTCCGATAGCAGGAGTTCACTTTTCTCCCCCTTCAAGCCCACTTCCTCGGCCTCATCCCCGGCGTCCAGGATGCCCTGCGGGTGCTTCTGCTGCTGGAAGAGGCGGATGGTAACTTTGGACCTGGTCCTGTTGGCCTTGGGGACCTTCAGAAACAGCCAGACCTCAGCCCGCTCCACCACAGACAGGTCACTGCCTTCTTTGGAAATCTCAAAGTGCAGCGTCTTCCTGGCTGTGCCTGAATACCAAAGGCAACACAAGAACACAAAGAGACACTGGTTAATTCATCAGTGTTTGTACTTCCTCGTTTCAAACAGCCCTCTTTCCTTAATGGGCCATCCAGAACAACGGTCAGCATATTGTGGCTAAGACTGGCTTTCATATATTTATACAGGTGTAGAGAAAGAATATTTTTTGACATGAAAATGATCTGAAAACGAAATGAATGCCCATCAGTGACTTTGCCTGGGGATACAACTATGCTCACTTTTTTTTATGTGTTGTCTCCAGTTGCTTCTGCACCACAGTGAATATTCAGGGACCTGTGACACACACATTGTGGCCCCCAAACCTTGAGGTGTTTCCTCCCTGGCTCTAGAGAAGAAACCATTTTTGGACCCTTGCTCTAAAACGCAGAGAACCCAGGAGTCTGTCTGTTGAACAGCTGATTCATGTGTTTTGCCTTGCATACAATGGAAATAACATCATGATATTTGACCTATTGTAATCTGGAAGGGTTAGATAAAGTAACATTAATGAAATTTCTGCCCCCACCGTGCCATGTAGGTCTACACTTGCCCACATGCAGGGACATCCTGAGCTAGCCCGCTTTGCCCATCCCTTAGTTCCTGGGTTGTCTTCCCTCTGGCTGCATTGAAGCAAGACTTTTAATTCCATCTGCCTGACTCAGGTGCTTGACTCAAAGTGGAGCTGATCAATACTTCAGCAACTTTTTCAGTGGCCAAGGGTTCTTGCCTTCAACTCCCCCTCTATCACTCTGCCTCCTACTTTCTGTGATGCCCTTACGTGGTATTGTCTCTGATCTACTGGAAATGACTACTGCTGGCCCTTGGGCCTACAGGGTCACACACGCCCCTAAGGGATGTCTCAAATGCTGCCTTTTAGAAGCCTCTTCTCATCTCTTCTCCACTGCCACCATCTTGCCAGTCTAGCTGACCATGGCCACATCTGAGTTCCTAATTCACTGGCCAGTGTTGAACAGAAAGTAGGTAATTAGTTGACTATTTATTCATCAATGCAGGCATTTCCAGTGTCAAACTACATGGAATAACTATTAGCGTCTACCTCAGAATCTGGTATTTTTACCCCAAGGTGGAGCTGAATAAACACCAACAACATATTTCAGATAGCAATTGCTGCTAATATGGAGGAAATCCCGGCACAGTGAGGGTACTTGGATTCATCTCTCACTACATTCTAGCCTTACCTCTAAAATTAGAAAGTCCTCTATTTCCTTCTCTTTTCATAAGCGCTGCCCACTTATTCTTATAAGGATGCTTACCACAAGAAACAAAAGTAATCAGATTAGAACTTTCTGACTGCACAAACATTTGCCCGGCAATTCCATTTTGCCACATGCAATATACAAAACCATGCCCTCTTGTACACGACCATGTGCCTATTTCAAACTGCTGCACACATAGTTCATATATGAATCTGGGAACAATCTTAAAGTTCATCTTAGAACTCTCAACTCTCTGGGAGGATCTCCCGGCCTGGATTTCTATAGCTAACGGAAATCCAGGCATACTTATCACTCCAGGCCCCGAGATGTTTACGGTACTATAAATTTTAGGCACGGTTTCAAGTTCTCTGGAGCAGACGGCCGGCGTTTCTGTGCGTTGCGCACTGTAGATTCTGTTCCTAATTTAACACACTCTGTACACTGTGATTATGATAGTGGTGAATTCACTGGGGCAGGGGCCAAGGAGGGCTACATATGGATAGGAAAGGTTCCCAGCATTTGGATCAGCTTGCCATGCTGAGGATGGCGGCGGCAAGGGGAGTTCCTTTGCCCCTGACCTCATGTCTCTGGCAGGAGTTGAAATGAGTAATGAAGCTGGCTCTGGGATTAGATAGGACACCAAAGCAGGCAACAGTTAGAGCGGGAAGCTGTCTTATTTTAGGAAACAGGGTAATGTGTTTTTTCCTAAAATGTTAATTCTATATTCCCTTTTGCTAAGAATTGGTGCCTTTTCTTTTTTCAAGGAAACTGAAAGGGAAGATCCCAGGAAGCAGAGCTTAATGTTTTAAACCCAAAAAGGCAACCAGCAGCAGATTTAAAGGTACTAGGGTCTTGCCAAGAGCAAAGGAAAAGGCTGGGTGGGATCCTCCCAAACCTGGGGTACTGGCCTCCCGGGAGATGCACACTCCCTCCTGTCATTGGGCCACCCACCCCACGCAACAGAGAATGTTAACAAACTACCTACCCTTTTCCCTTCTGCCTGTAGGCAGGACTGCTTCTGAAATCCTACAGGGCGCCAGAGTGACACCGAAGACAAAGAGATAGTAGCTGCTAAATTAGAGAAGCCAGAGGGCACAAGGTTGTGTTCAGGTTTTCTAGGAAGGAGCCTATGAAAGCAAAGCATCTGACTGGTACCCAGATGGGAAGGTTGGGTGATGTTGGGTAACTCATCTCCACAGGGCTCCTATGTATCCATCACGTCCACTAAGACTGAGAGGGGTGGGGACACGGCAAAGGACATGCCCTTGCTGGCCTGCCTGCCTGGGACTTCCCGTGAGTCAAGTCCACAGATGTCTCCAGATGCAAGGGAGTTGGGAGGAGGGGGACAAGGGAAGGGAGAATTAACTGCCAGGACCTGAATCAGGGATAGTCATATGCAAATCATTTCTGTAGGACCTGGGAGGCCAAGGCCACTGGCTGGCAATCCCACAGCCTGTAGAAGAGCTCCTGGTTTCTCAGAAGCAGGTTTCTAATGCTGGCTAGAGCCCCACCCCTTCTTCACAGGCAGCTGTACTTGGAAGCAAATGATTTAGCGTCGCTGAGAGAGGATTGTACAAAGAGAGTCCTCATTAGAGGGGGCTCAGTCTGTCAGGTGCTGTTGCATTAGGTTCAGAGAGTCATCCTAAAACGACTTTCACGCTGGTCTCAGCTGATAATTAGCTGCGTGGCATAGCTTGTGTGTTGTGTGGAGGCAGGATCGCTGATTTACGCACCAGTTTAATGATGTGAACAGAAAGCCTGCATTTGCATCCACTGCCTGCATGCTTTCTCTCTCCCCCATATTTCTGACATTTGGATTTTCCCCCTACTAATTGACATGCTTGTCGCCTCCTTCTCCTGGTGTCCATTTCTGGAACTGCTATTTGTATATTGCTTGATATTTTATCAGGGGAAAAAAATAAAACTGGGATCCAATTTCATGAAAATGCAGTAACCATAATGCTCAGGAACAGGGGACGGGAATCGAGTCTTCCTCATGTCCACCTCGTATGCAGGTACATTTTACAAGTTCTATTGTTTTCTGACTTATGAAGCAGTGCATATTTTTTTTTTCTTTTACATCAGCTTTCATGGTAGAAGGGGGTGGGGAGAGTGATTCGGCTGGAAAGCTGACATGGAATTAATGGTCATCAACGTGGTAGGTGTCAGAAATAGAACCCTCAAACGTCTTAGGTCTGGCAAAATATAATAAATAACTAGTCAGTGTGTGCTGTTCCCTTTATATTACCAGGGAAATTGCTATGCTACAGTGTCACTTTCGGCTTGCCCCAGGCTGCAAATCTCTCTGCCTAACAAATTGAAACATGGGGGGGAAAGGCTGCCAAAGGCTGAGATGTTTAGCTTCCATCTCTAACACTGCAGGTTTGCTGCACACAGCCTGTGCGGTAAGACCCTGAAATGGAAGCCTTTCCCATGACGCTTCCTAGGCTGAGGAGGTGTGCTTTGGTTCCCTACACTGTATCCTGGCTAACCAGGCAGAGCTGCTGCTTTATGAACCTTTCATTAACCTGCTCTCTGCTAATATTCTCTTCTGCCTTCTGTGCTATCCAACCCCCTGCCCTCCCGAGGTTGGGGAGCAGGGCTTGTATCACAGCCTGATATGCCTGACTAATTCACTAAGAAAGTCCCACGCAAACCGTGTGGGTGATGGGATTTCATCCCTGAAGCCCCTCATGAGCTTGATGGATACACACCCCAGGCAGAGGACAAAGGTGCACAGGATGGCTGGTGGGAGGGTGCTGTCTTGTAGGGAATCCCCATGACATACTGCCTGATGCAAGGCAAGGATGCAAGCTGGGAACAGACACCTGGAGGGCATACGAGCACAGTTTTCCTGTCTTTTAGAATGTCCCAAACGTTTTTAATAAGTCCTTTCATGAGGGCACGCCAAGGGTTAAGCAGCCAAGACCCTCGTCCTTCCCTTCCCTCACACTGGGATATAAACTACTACCCAACCAAGAACCCAGCATCTCATATTTGTGGGTAAATCAACATTTCCAATTAGATCAGCAACACACACACACACACACACATGGTGTTTCAGTTTGGTTCGATTGGATTGCCCTCCGCAGGGTCCAGCTTCTGGTATCCTTTCCTGTTACATATGGGTAACAATTACGCCTCTAACACTGCTGTGAAAAACCTTGTTGTTGACAGAGCGAACTTTAACTCACTGAGTACTATGATGGGATGGGGGAGGGGGAGTGAAAAAGCTTTGCAGTTAAAAGTGCCTGTGACTTTCATGTTTCCTTGCTTCACCACGGTTTCGCTGTACCTAGAGAGTATGCAGTCAATGGCAGCAACATACAGAGCTGCTACTTACAGCATGTGTGTTCACAGTAGCACCAACCTTGCAAGGCCTGGACTTCTCCCAGGCATTTCTGCAGAAGGCAGCTAGCAAGGACCTGAGGTTACTGCTCCTGTGACCCACACTGGAGGACTTGGCCCCCACAATCATGGACTGGATCATAAATCACATTGATTACTTTTTTAAGCCATAATACCTTTCCTTAAAATCCATTACTGAATTGTAAATGCTCAGTCTCAAACATTCATCACCCATGCCTCTCGCGTTTAAATGGCGATGAAAAAGGAGGTGAAACGGGGAGAAAGGGACTTTAGGCTCCTAAGACAAGTAGGTAAGTCGTTAAGATTCAACTCACAAAATTGTGGGGATTCTTCCAAAGTTCCTGGGAACTTTCACACTTTTGATTTTGGATCTAGGAGCCAGTTAAACAGGCAGAATCTGAGCTGGAGTGAAAGACCATGCTCACATAGTTTTGAGCAGAAGAGAAGCCAAATCAAATACATGTTTTCACTCAAAGTGCCTGAGATGATATTACTTCACTTCTCCAAATGCTAATACTAACTCAAATCTTGGCTTCTGTCTGCCCACTCTATCCCATTCCTGACCCCCAGAACTCCACTATGACTCCTTCCCAGGCCGCAAACCACTATGAATCTTGTTCCACATCTTTTCTTCACCAGTTCCCTCCACACCCTCAGTCCAGAAAGCAAGGCATCCTCAGAAGCCGAACACCATGTTCCCACAAGGCGTTCAATAAACAGCCTGTTTTCTCCCTGTTTGAAGCCCCTTGTCATTTGTCGCTGCTGAAAAGCATTGGTGAGGCCAGCGAACTAGAACACAAAATCAGGGGAAATGGAAGGAGGTTTTTGTAAACCCAGTCGACCGTATTAGGGAGAGACTCGTGAACAAATCAGGATCGCTGATGATTCATGGTCACATTTCTCCATGCTCGGCTCTGTTTGCTTTTGAAATTTATCACTGCTCTGCCTTCCATGGAGTGCTGGAATGCTCACATGTATCACCAGAACTCCTGCGTCCCGGGCTTCTGTCTCAGTTAACGTGTGTATCCTGTCCTATGAAGTCTTTGCTTCTGCTGGAGGAGCTGGCGATAACTGATAATCCTCCGGACTAGGGAGCTGCAGAGACGGGGGTTCCAGGAGGCGCAATTGCCTTTGCCTGGATTAATTGACAAGCAGCAAAAAGTCTTTGGAATGCGCCCTCTTGTGGTCGATGCTTTCCAATTATTCAGAGAACAACATGTGTGTAATCCCAACCTCCTAAGGAGGGTCAGGGAGGGGAGTTCACAGGAAAAGTTCAGGGCAGGGGGCGCTCAGAATTAACTCCACTTTCAGGTGGCTCCGTGAGGGGGGGGGGGGATTAGTCATCCACGCTAGCCTTCTTGTTTGGAAGAGTGCATTTCTAGCTCCAATGGGCTGTAAATGAAATCCTCTAAGGGGATACTTCTGTATTGGCTTGCAAAAGAACACAGGCTGTGTGAGCATTACCCATTGCTTGCTGTTGTCTCTCTTCCCCTATCCTTCCTACAAGTGCTATGAATTTCCAAGTCGCAGTGTCACCTTCTAGTGTTTGCAGCATACAGACTAGCATGTAGTGTATTATCACTACATATTAACGGGCCAGTTAGTATGTCAGGAACCAAAGATAAAGTGAAATAATCAACCCAGAAAGATATGGGCTTTTACTCTTATGACCAATTATAGGGATAATTGGCTTGGCTTTATTTTTCCCATGATGTCTTCTTTGAAGAGAGGATATCAAGTTAAGGCCTTAAGGTAAACAGTAAAGATTCTGTACCAGCCACAGTGAGAAACGTTGGGTGACAAATGTCTTAGGATGATTCCATTGGTTGGACAACAACTAACATCAGCCTGACAAAGATGGGTACTTTGTCCCTGGTCACAGCTAGACAAGTTCAATGCAAGGCACCTTAATGTGCAATGGCTCAACTACTGTGGTTCTGAGCAGTGAGGGAAAAGGCGAAGATTAAACACAAAAATCTTGACATTGAAAGGGGCAACTATAACTATGAATTTATGGAATGTTCACGGGTGGCATTAATGACTGAATTCTATACTGGACCAAAGTTTATAAGAAAACAAAAATGTGTGCCGTTTTCTATTCTCTAAGAGTCTTGACATTTCTGCATAGTTGGGATGTTATTAAGGTTGAATTATTGCAAAAGCAACAAGACATAGATCTTTGTTATGTATTTTCATGCATTTGCTACAACTATTCAGAGGATACTTTCCTGCAGGCAAAATCAGCAACAAAATGCTTGCATAGTATACTACTTACGATTAATAAATACAATCATTAAATTTGAAAAACTTTAACCAATTTGAGGTAACTGGTAGATCTTCTCAGAAGAGAAAAATGGAGCTGTTACAACAAACCTCTTAAGTATCCAAAGTCAAGGAGTAAGCTCGGCCAGGACAAGTTTCCCCTACATATCTTAAACTTCAGTAAGCATGTCAATCCAATGAAATGGCCCTCTAAAAAAGTAGCTCTTTTAATTAAACACCTGCCAGGCAAGTAGAAGATGACAAGATCCCTTATAACAGATGGAAGGATTGGCACTGAGATGAAGGCCATAGGAAGGCATGTCAGTGGTTAAATTCTTTCACTACCAAATCTCTAAATGCCAAGAGAATAATTTACTACTCAAGTACAGTAATGTACTGCTCACGTCAGTAGTAGGATTAGAAGTGGTCAGAGGCTCAGGTATGTGTAAGTACAGGGTGCCTTCTGAGCACATTGAGAGGCACCAGTAAGGCCATCGGACATGGGAGATGCTTGTTACAGAATGGGCTCTAGAGACGGGCTCCTTGGCACCAAACCCAGCAAGCCCTCCAAACCCCTGGAATCCCTCTCCTGGGTGGGATGCAATGTCGGTGTTGGGGGCTTTCCCTTCCATACTTTTCCTCAGGGAAAGTTTGAAGAAAACGTGGGCCGCAAGTTCAAAACTCCAACCTGACTTCTGTCCTCAATCAGCTTCCAAGAAAACAAAGTTGTAAAGTAACAAGGCTGCCTTTGGGAGCTACCCCGAGAAAGAACTTTTAGGAAAGTTTCCCTATATGCAGCAGGCTGCTGCCAGGGCAAGGGCTAACCCAGGAAGCTTGTGGAACATGGGAGCTTCTGCTTAGGAGAGAAGCCGGAACCTGGCAGGCTCTCTGCTCCCCCAAAAATTATGCCCAGGTCTCACATGGCTTTCTTGAAAACAGAACATCTGAGTCAACAGGTTTTCAGGATTGGAAATTCTGAGTGTTGCCTTAATTGTTTATACTGCTGCAGCAAACTTTTAAACAAAATGCTGGGAGTCCCTGCACATACTTTACTGGCCATATGCTCTAGCAAACAAAACAATGGCATTCCTTTCACATAGATTTGGCAAGGGAGTCTTTCGCCTGGCATTACCAAGAAAGTAACACAGTATTAACACATCTGTGTGCCCGGCATGTGGGGGCTTGCAGGCGTGCAAACGGATGTACGTCTCACAACTGTAGGTAGAGCCTGGCTCCGGGTCCAGGGCCCGTCCTCTCCCCAGGCATTTTGCACTCAGCAACAGGTTAGTGTGGGGGGCCAGTGGATGAAATCTATTTCTCAAAGTTCTTCCTCTTCAGGACCGAGTGAGTGGTCGGAGTGCTTTGTCAAGGCTGCATTCCTTGGCAAAAGAGCTCTTAGGAACTTCTGAGCAAACTTTTAGGGGAGAATGGTCGTTCTTTTTCTTTATTTCTTTTTTTGGTTCAGAGAGCAATAGTCAGTCCTCTAAAAGTAGCTACTGGTCCAATGTTCACTGCCCCCTCCCTACCCTGCCACACACCCCATGCCCTAAGTAGCTTTCTGCTGCTTGTGCGCTTACAGATGGAGTTTCTAAAGGTAAAAAATGACCACCGCTAATCAACATGCCCTACCTGAAGGCTGTGACCCCAGGATGGACTTTTACAGGGGAAAAGCTTTGTTTTAACACAATGGCTTCACCGGTGCGGTTCCACCAGGATCACGGTGCATTCTCACCCGCTTCCTGCACCCCCGCCCCCCAACAACATCTTCGGATTGCTGAGGCAGGGGGAAGGGGTACGGGGAGGTGATGTCCCGAAGCCCCCTGGCTCCACGAGCACACCAACCTGCCTAGAACTCTAGTCTGGCCGCCGGGCTCTGGTCCGGAACCCTGGGCGAGGGAACTCCCTCTCAAAGAGACTTGTAAAGACAGTCCTCCCCACGCACCCCGGCTAAGTTCAGCAAGTGGAAGCTACACCGGTGTCCGGGCACCACGCAGCCGATGAGTGCCTTTCCAAGAAGTCCTCCTCCCGCCCCCGGGCCCCTGCCTCCCGCTCCAGGCGCTGCCACTACCCAACCCGTGCACACACACACACACACACACACACACACACACACACACGCCCCCCAACAGAGCCCGAGACCCTTCCCGGGCAGCCGGTAGCTGAAGGCGGACATACAAAGTTGCTCCCGGGACCATCCGAGAGCAGCCGACCTTGTTCTCCCCCACCCCTCCCCCCGCGATGCCAGCACCCACCTGACTCGGCGAACGTGATGATCTCCGAGGTCTGCTCCATCAGCTCATTCATTTCTGCCCTCCTTCCGATATCGTCTTCAATCTCCACAAACCCGTTCTCCCCTACTTTGCCTACGTGCAGCTTGCGGATGGCGTTGAGAAGCGCTGCCTTGGGCACCGGCTGGGTGACCTCGGGTCTCTTCTTCAAGTGCAGCATGGTTAAGATGTGCTTCTTGACGGCCTCCACCATCTCGGGCTGCGAGTTGGGTCCAGCCTTGGGGAGGGTGGCCAGCGCACAGGACGGGCAGTCGGGGGCCGCGCTGTGCCCCTCGGAGCCCGGCGTGGGGGAACTCCTCCCTATAATCCAGCAACTCGCCAGGAGAAATCCTTGAAGCCACAGCAAGGGCATCCTGGCAGCCAACGCTGTTGTGATTGCCCTTTTAAAGGCCCTGCTTTTCCTCCACCCCCCCTCACGCACAGGTTTTTTTTTTTTTTTCCTTTTTTTTTTTTTTTTGGTAGTGGTAGTGGTGTACTTTTTTTTTTCCTTTTTTTTTTCCTCCTTTCTCCTCTTCAGCAAATTCTCTGGAACAAGAACAAAAAGTTTTCTGTGAAGTTTTGTTTGCAGGTTCCCACTCTGAATGCAGTCAGTGCTGTAGGTTTGTGGCTGTCAGGGAGGAGAGTTCTGTCTCCGAGTAAGAGAGAAGGAGGGAGAGAGGGAGGGTGGGAGGGAGGGAGAGAGGGAGGGAGACACGGGGTGTGTGTGTGGGGGGGGAGACAGAGACACAGAGAGGATGGGAGGGAGAGACAGGGAGAGATGAGAGAGGGGGTGAGAAGAGAGAGGGAAAAGGGGGGAAGGGAAGGAGAGAGAGGGAGAGAGGGAGAGTGAGGGAGAGGATGGGAGGGAGAGAGAGAGAGAGAGACGGATTGGCTCTAAGTGAGTGAGTGAATGGGAGCGGGAGGGGGCCGCGAGTAGAGGCTGTGATTCGGAGGGAGGGACAGCGTTTTCTGACAGGCTGCTCTCTCAGCTCCCGCTCGCTCACACACACCTCTCTTGCAATAGCACCATCCTCGGGGTCCTACTTTCCCTTCTGAAACAAATTCTCCTAATCTTGCTCGTGTGTGTGTGTGTGTGTGTGTGTGTGTGTGTGTGTGTGTGTGTGTGTGTGTGTTTCCTTTGCCCAATTCTCCCGGCCTCACCTTCTTCCTTTTTTGGAGGGAGAAAAAAAAATGCGCTAAGTCCGTCCTCTGAGAGGAAGTCCCCCCCCCCAGGCACCCCCTCCTTACCCACTCCTGACCTCGAGGTCCCCGGACCCCGCCGTAGCCCTGGAAGGCTCCACGCCCACCTGGCCGTCAGGTGGGGCTGAGGGAGCCCGGAGGTCTGGCTGACAGGTGGCGGAAGTAGCGGGGAGATGGGGGGTCCCTGGGCAAAGGAACCCCCGGAGCCACTGGCTTAGCTGGCCCGAGAAAGTCGGGCAGAGTCCTTCCCCGGCCCGGTGCATTCCTACTGCAGTGTTGAGGGCCGCCCCCACCAGCTGGCCACTCAGGGCGGTGCGATAGAACTTGGGTTTGGGGGTCCGAGGATGCTCGGCACTTTCCCAAGTGCGCCCCGCCGCGGGGCCCCGAGGGAGCCCCCGGGCTAGCCGGCGCTGGACAAGCCCGCCGGGGCCACCTGAGGGGCTCTCCCCGCCTGGCTTCAGCCGCCAGCCCGCCCCTGCCCCTGCCCCGGCCCCTGCCCCGGCCCCGGACGCGCTGGGGCGCGCCGCACCGCTCCAGCTACTGCCGCCGTCCGTCCGGACTGCATCGCTAAAACGCGAAATTCCTATGGCCTTTTCCCACATTCTTTTTATATAAAGAGAGTGCGCTCCCCTGACTCCAGCAACTGGCCCGATGGGAACAGAATCTCCGAAATATACTGGCAAATTGTTTTTCTCTGTCACGTGGTCGTTTGCTCAGCTCGCCAGCCCCTAGCCCATCCCGACCCGTGCGCCTGCAACCGTAGCCTCCGCCAGCTCTGCCCCTGGCCTCGGAGGAACAGCACGGGAAGAAGCCGGCGTGGAATTCAATGCTCACAGGAAAAAAAAAAAAATGCGGATTTTTAAACAATGCCTTTCTGGGGCTTTAAAAAAAGAAAGAAAAAATCCTTCCCTCCTCCCCCTCCCCCCGTTTTCAGTTCCCATCTTATTGCTTTTATCTTGCAGAAGTGTCTTTCAGGGGGTCCATCTGTTAAAGCTTTCCTTCCCTTTCTGGTCCTTTGCCACACAGAAGCACTCCTGGTTTCTGGGGCTAGTGTTAGCTTCTATGTGACATCCCCAGTGCTCTGGGTGGGAGAGGCAAGCCAGGCAAATCTTGGCAGAAAGCGTTAATGAACACCCTCACCGCCAGCTGAAGATCTGAGGGCCGAAGGAAGAGGGGAGAAAACTGACACTGAGTTAAAATTACAGTTTGCACAGGTAACCATGCTGCTCTGAACTGAACACACTGACCTCCTTTCCCCAAAGCCCTATTTGCCAGCTTTTCTCTGTTCCAAGCCATTTAACACCTTGGGGTTTTGGGCTCCAGGAACCATCCACTACTTTGCTAGTATTGTTAAAACTTTGTCCACAGTTGCCTAAAAAGCCTAATTTTCTTTAGAGTGGGGGATGGGAAGGAGGGGATGCGTAGGGACATTGAGTATAAAGGTTTTAATATAACATCTCTGTACTGTCATACTTAATATCACCCACCTATATGGAGTCAAAAGAGACAGGACCCAAAGCATTTTGTAGTGCCATTAAGTTTTACAAGAGTCTGAAATAGAACTGAAAGTTTAATGACTCCAAACAACTCGAGAGACCTAATGAGTAGCATTTTAGGTAAGTGTAACTTACCAATATTTGGATTCTGTCTGCGTGCCTGGGTGCGTGCCTATGTGTGTTCCCTGAAGTCACCGCCTGCGAATGTAACTGTAAAATAGCCTTCTCTCTGGCATATGCATTTGTGTATAGGTGCTGAGTGGGTTGTATAAACACACAACCCATTTGCATGCTCTAGGACCATTAAAAACTGTATGAACCTGCATGAGCAATATAAAGATACAGAAAGCACAGTGCCATGGAACTGCCAGTCAGCTGTAAAATCCCTTTTAGCCACCCTGAGTGTGGAAAGCGCTCAGAAGGAAGTTAAAAAGGCATTACCTTTCCGGTTCCCTCTCTTTCACCAGCCGGCTCCTGTATCCTGTGGTGAGAGCTGCCTGTGTCCCTCCTCATGGTGTTGGCACTGGCAAGTTTTATACTGTACTACTTATTAGTACATTCGTGCATTGGTACCACTCAAACAGAGGAGGGCTGGGGCTTGTGTGGGATTGGTTACAATCAGCATGACATCAGCGGATGACTGGTTTTTCCAGTGTGAGACATTTCATAATTCATTATCTAATGGAAATCCCTCTTGGCTTCTCAGACACTATTGGGTGATGCACTGAGCCGGTGAACCTCTGGCTGTGAGTAGCCTATCTTCTACGAAAACACTGGAATCAAACAGATGCATCTCCAGGAGTGTTGGACTTTTCTTTTACTACTTGAACACACGACTCATTATATTCAAGTTCAGTTTTATGTCCTTACATAAAACATCTGTTACTTCGTCAAGTTGCCTCTATTTACACAATATTTTATTGTTTCTTACAGAGAAGAAATTTCCTAGCGTTCCTTACAGGGATTCTAATTTGGTTTTATTTTTAAGTAAGCTGTTCCACTGAAGGAAACAAAAAAATAATATTAAGAAAATACATATACCCATATGCTGATGGTCTCCCTCCCTGACTTACACTGTTATTTTATGTTTTGCAATTGAGTGCCTGCTTCATAAATCATGTATCAGCAAGGAGGGCAGAAGCAGTTATCTTCTGCTAGTGAACTTAGTAAATTGCCCAGGTCTTTCAAATCCCATCCTAACCTGCAAAACAAACCCACAAAACCTCATGCGTCTTTAACAAAGCTTCAAGTCCTACAATTTCCAAACTGTCACAAATGTTGCATGAGATTAATAAAAAGAGGAGTGAACACTCCTTGAGACAGGGGTGAAGCTGGTCAGGTTATTTTGTTTAGTTGATTGGTTAGTTGGGTTTGGGGCCGGGGGGGGGGGGGGGGGGGGGGGGGGTGTGGTGGGAGCAAAGCTGGCAAGTCTGGGAAATCCTACAGGCAGAATGATGTCCCAGACAAGAGTGAAGGACTAGCACTGTCTGAGGGAGATGAGGGGGGCATAAGCGAGGTTCCCATGGCAAGTTGGATAAAATGTGCAAAATTGGGAGCTAATGAAAGCCACATGACCAGATATGTTGTTTTGCATGCAGGATTTAACATGCGAAACATAAACTTTTCACTGTGCCCACAAGCAAAAATATAGAGGCTCTGTCCCCCTGCTCCGTGGCTTGAGCAGGTTCCTTTTAGCACAGCAGCAATTTTCTGTGTAAGAGAGGGTCTCTTCTTGGCTTGGTACAGAGAAAGTGTGGGTGCTGAACTGCGAGGGAAGAGGAGTATTCTAAGAACTGCATATGCAGAAGTGAGGTAGGAAATGAAATCATGAGGTTGTAGAGGAAGAGAGGGGATCTGAGTGCAAAGACAGAAATAGGATCCGCGATGGTGAACTCCATCCCTGCCCCTCCGTTTGGAATCCAGCTCAGCCTGCTTCTAAGAAAGGAGCCCCTTCCCTCTCGGATGGGAACTGCTAGAACAGCAATGGCCCTGTGGACATGGCACTGTGTGAACCTCTGTGTCCTGCCAGTGGGACAGTCATGTTCCTGAAAGCGATGTGGTGGGGGCACAAAACAAACCCACATCAGACCTGGCTCCACTGTATATTCACCATGCAAAAGGCAGGATCACCATCCCTACAATGGGACCCATACAACCTCAACTGCAGCTCAGGTGCAGCCCACCCACAAAATGCAAGCTGCCTGGAAGCTGCTTTTGAAACATTTTGCCACGGGATTCTGTGCAGCACCCTGACTTGGAGGGGCCACGCTGGCCATCTGCTGCCAGCCCCGTGCTACCCAGCAGCTTTGGAGCTCATTCCCTACCTGCACCCCCAAGCTCAGAGCTGAACCTTCTCACTCTCAGGAAATTAACTAGGGGAGGCAGAGGGCACAGGCAGGTGAAAAACAGCTTCTTCAGAATACTCTGGACTGGGAGTTAGCCCTTCCCTGCGAACTCCAGGTCCCAGGACTGAGCTGGTCAGCCCAGGTCCTGACAAGGATCTCCTTCTCTTGCCTCCGTTTGGTTTCTCTTTCACTTCCTGCCCCTCCCCCCACTCCCAGCGTCCCCACCCCCCAGGCCCTTCGGTCCCGGCTCCTCGGCCCTGCTACTGTACCTTGAGCAACACCTGCTGGCAGCTCCCAGAGATCACGCCGGAACGCGGCCGCGGCTCAAGCCCAGCGCGCGGGATGCCTGGAGTCAGGGCCAAGCCGTTCCAAGCGGCCGCCTCTATTTTTACCCTGAGCACCAGCAAGGGCAACTTCTTTTAAGAGCAGCTCTTGATTTTTCCCCCCTTTTGGCAGCTAAAGAATTCAGGAAGGGGAAAAAAAAAAATCAGTGTTCAGTGAGTGCCGCTGGGAATTTCTGATCCCAGCCCCTCGGTGCCAGGGACTGAAACCACAGCAACTGCCAGGGACCTGGGACCTGCAGTGGGGCCGGCGGGCT